ATAGACAATAACAATATAAGGTCTTGTGATTATATTCCAAATCAAAAAAAGGCAAATGGAGCAGACAGAATCAAAAATATGGCTGTTTGGCCTGCAGATGAACAGAACGGACCCACAGGGGGAGAAACTGGAAAGCCTCCACGCGTTCTCAAGTGAGCCAGTCAGCTAACACCTTGGCAGACGGACAAGAGCAAAACTAATTGCAAAACAGACCTTAGACAGAGGCACAATCAATTACGCCGTCTGTGACGTCTGGCTGATTGTGCTCGTATGTGTTTCTGAATGAAGGAAGTGTGAAGTCTGCAAAGTATAATAATTCATGGTTGAAAGGGAGTAGCTCACTGCTATCTCTAATGGGATGTGCGTCTATCTGAATGCATCACTGACTGGATTGATGCGAAGGAGCCATTCGTTGGTGAAATCACTTGAACAGGGACACAAAACAGTTTGTGTTTGATTCATGGCTGTTTCTGCAGTCATTCTGGAAGCACAACTCGAAAAGGCTTGTATGTGGAGCTAATATCCACAGTATTGCGGTGGAAAAGCACTGGCATTTGTGACTCTAGGTCAGATGAATGAGCTCGAATCAGTCAGGCAGGCACTGAACCAAATAGCGTAAGGGCTTGACAATCCCCCTCCCCTCATCTTTCTTCCTCCTTTCCTCTGACCTGGTTCCAAAGCCATAGTCAACATGAGGGAACTGGGGTTTCTGAAACAGGAAGGTGGAAAGAAAAAGGCTGACTTGACTATGACACCCCTAGCATTGCAAATATTAAAATATGAAAATATTGCAATATTAAAGTTTATTTAAAAAGTTTAATGTTAGGTGGGATTAATCGCGATTAATCTCAGAAAAAAACATGCGATTAATTAGTTACTTTTTTTTAATCGATTGACAGCACTACTAATAATATTATGCATTTGGCATAATCATAATGCCAGTTCGACAGAAAAGCACGGAATTTGAGTTGGGATGCAAATAAAGATGATAAATTTATTGATATGTAAAAAGGTACAATCATGCATAGCCTCAATACCATGGTTAAATATAACGATGGTTTAAAACCTTATTTGATATTTGTTATTAAAAAATATTTAGAAACAGCCTAGTTTCATAATAAAAATGAATTACTAATGTTATTGGTAGCTGAAAATCATCAAATTAGCAAAAAAAAATTTGATAGAGCATGAGGCAGGGGATTTGTAGAGATTAGTTATTAACGGTCATTCCAATTAAGCACAAATCTGGAGCTTTCTGCAGATGCCGTGTGGGTCAGTAAATAATTAAAGTTAGAAACAGGGATATAGACGGCTAACTAATTAATCATTAAGTGAGAATCAAAAAAAAATAAAAAAAATAAAAAAAATAAAATAATTATAACCCCTAGCATGTCCACTGTCCCGCTGCTGGATGGTCTTCAGAGTGTGGCCCCTACCCCCTCCGAGTGCATCTGTTGAGGCTCAACGCCATAAACCCAGTAACATAGTGATGATCTTAACAGACCTTTTCTGGGCCATCTGCCACAGAAGGAACAAAAGTCTGCCACTGTCCCCTGGTCACCCAAAACAAAAAACATTTGCTAGGAACAGCCTCTGAAAGTACAGTAGCACTTTTTAGCTACACTTCCACTATACACTCAAAAACATTAACATATTGTCAATGCAAAGATGTGATAGGTCTATAAAAGTTCAGCCTGTCTAAACAAGTCCGATTTTAAAGTAAGGATGCATTAAATTGTTTAAAAGTGACAGTAAAGACATTTGTAATGTTTCTATTTTATAAAAGATTTCTATTTCAAATAAATGTTCTGTTTTGAAATACATGTATCATGGTTTCCACAAAAATATTAAGCAGCACAACTGTTTTCAACATTAATAATAATAAGAAATGTTTCTTGAGCATCAAATCAGCATATTAGAATGATTTCTGAAGCATCATGTGACAATGAAGACTGGAGTAATAGCTGCTGAAAATTCAGCTTTGCCATCACAGAAATAAATTACATTTGAAAATATATTAAATAAGAAAATGGTTGAAATTGTAATAATATTAGTGTTTTACTACACTTTTAATCAAATAAATGCAGCCCTGCATAAGAGACTTCTTTAAAAATGTAAACTAAACTTTTCAATAGCAGTGTAAATTGAAAAAAAAAAAAGGTGTAGAAACACCCATTTTTATGCAGAAATTGTTAGTAAATTAAAAATTGAAAGAAGATAAAAGTAGTTTGTAGTTAACTAAAAAAAGTAGTTAACTGAAATAGCATTTTCTTGTAAAATATACTCCAATAATCTTTTTTGTTTTATTTACTACATCGATAAATGTGAATATAAAGTATAAAAATACGCAAAAAAAAAAAAAGGTATTTTAAGCAACATTGTTATATACAAAATTAATAATAATACAAACTATAATAACACTGGCAAAAAATTTGCTTTATTTTTTCGATACGGACATCACTGAAAAGAACTTGCATTTCAGAAAGTGAATCAGATGTTGATTCATTAATTGCTCTGATGGATTCAGCAACATTTAATTCAAACTGGTGACTCATCTTTTAAAATTGCTTATAAGAATAGGCACATAAGATTTGTTCAGAAATCAGACTACACTGGGCACGTTGTATAGTTCTGATTTAATTTCGATTTGCTGTAACATTATGTTTTTATTAAAAAAAAAACAGTGGAGAATAGATTTAAAACGTCCTTCCTCAGTTTTACTAACTACACACCAATATCCATGAAGCATTAAAACGCTTATTTATTGATATTTGTATGTACAGTTTATCAAAACTAATCTGTTTATGATAGTTGTTTGTATTATGCCTCCTACAATAAGAAAGACGCCTCAGAGTTTGTTGTCCTAGGGTCATATTTTAAAAATACAGAAGCTTAAACACATTAAACAGCGATGAGCTATTTTTGGGACTAAACGCATTCAGGAATTAATCTCTCTGAATATACGCAACACCCCAAAGCAATACTGGCTGCTCTGCCTGCACTTTATTCCCAAAAGTCTGACCAAAATCTCTGACTACAATCTATTCACATGCTAACAAAAAACTCATTAATGTACAACGTAGCCATTTAACACATGTAGGCAACCTGAGTATTGACATCACCAATAAGGAGGGGTCGATCTACATCCAGCTCATCACCCCTGAGGTCCTGGGGTGGATCAAGAGGCATCTTAAAAGCTTTCAACGGGATAATGCCATACAAAATGGGAGGTGTGTAAGTGGATACAATGAGTCCATCATCCCCTCCAGCATACTCAAGAAGGGCAAAAACAGGGTCAGTGGCCATATGCAAATCAAGACTCTGTTAAGGGGGGAGGAGTGGCACCAGCTGTCCGACAGACAGACCTTCCCCACCTCCTTCATCATATATAACACTGCGAGAACCAGGAATATGGCAGCCTGACATCTAGATCTTTGAACTCAGAAATGTGCTTCACAAGCCAAACACATCTGTTTTGTGTCTTAAAATGTGACGGTAGGGATTCCTTGCAAGGTACATAAGCACAAACTATACTTCAGAAAATAACAAGAAAAGATATGCTGGATTGGTTGATTAAAAATCAAATTCCAACTGTGCAAAAGCAATAAAAAACAACAACAAATAATACTACTTTAACTTCTTGAATGCTATGCCTTGTACTACATGAAGATGTGCAGTGATCACACACTGGAATGGGCCTCTGGTTTGTCAGATCTGAAATCTAAGGGGAAAAACTGAAGGCCTCAAACAAAATGGTTATTTTGGTGGTTGGAACAGCATGTCAGCCTCAGCCAAGAAAGCACATCTGGGATTTTATTAAATGGGCTAAACCTGGTTCCTTAGTGTAAAGTTGTAAGGAAGCTGTCAAAAGTGTAATGACTAAAAAATTTGCAATTAAAATATGTTGTGTTCACTGAACCACTGTGTCTACACAGACTGAGAGGCCTATGAAGCCTATGCAAATTGAGCCCAGACAACCGGATTTCCGTGAATCGGTTCTTTCGAATAGCTCGTTTCAATTAACTGGTTCACAAAGCGATTCAGCAGTTCATTGTCATGTTGCATGGCATATTATGAATAATTATTATTTCATATTATAAATAAATGATCATTCTGTGTTATAAATAAGGAAGTTATTGTAAATGCGTGTGTCCATATTCCGTTCGTTTTAGACATGATTCAGCTAACATAAAAATAAGTTTAAAATTAAATATACCGCGAGTTTGCTTTAAACACTGCGAAAATTTATTTACATATCTCTAATGAAAGATTTCGCTTGTTTTAATAGAATTCAATGTATTTCAATCTCCGAAAGAGGGGATTCTTGCGAGTTTGGGCATTTTTCAGTCATTACGAAATGAACAAGTCCGCAAGAAATGGTGTTCGGTTCAATGACTTGGCCTGTTGTCCGACTCGCAGTGACACGGAGTTGAGAACCGCTGGAACCGATTCGTGAGCGAATCGTTCAAACCAGTTTTGCGTACAGGTTCGCAACCGATTCACTGAAAAGATCCTACTTAAAATAACGATTCATTCACAAATCCAACAAAGCTATCGAACGTGCCAATGAAGACCATTGAAGAACAAATTCCATTCGCTCGCGACTATGATGCCCAAAAATGCTGTCTAGGTAGACGGCGAACGAGCTTTTAGACACAACCAACCAGATTAATGGCAGAAGGACAGCGCTTCTCAGTTCCAAGATGTGGACTTCAGTCTTTATTCTCACACGAGTACAGCATAATTACCTTTCACATATATAAACTTACAGCATTTAAGTGTAAATAAGACGGGAGGCCGCAGCAGTTCACGACACACTCCTCAACAACAGCAACCAAACTCTAAACAAAGACGTGTAAAACAACCATAAAACATCGACATAGCGATTTTATCAGTGTAGAAACTAACGTTACATACCTGTGATATAACGCTAATATAATGTGCAATCCATGGAGTTCAATGTTTCAGTGTAAAAAATCAAAATAAACACAGCTACTTACTCTAGGTGAACAGGAGCCGAATGCCACAGCGCACGTTCCCAATCCGTCCCGTCTTCCTCTTTTATCTTAAAAATAAACACTATTTGCGCATTTTAAAAACTATACACGTCGGCGTGCATCATCTCTATCGACACAGATTCTGTCCCGGTCGGTGCGTTCATGCCGCAGCGCCTGAAATCCCACAGAAAGGGAAATAGCAGCGTGTTGTTGTGTGTTGGGATGAATCAAAGAGGTGGGAAAAATCTGTCACAGCCAGAATCTGGGTGTGAAGGAACAAAGAGCCACACAGCCGCCTAGTGGACAGAGAGCGGAATTACACCTGCTGAGTCAAACGTAAGAAGACATCAAGGCGGCTGGGAAATGTTGAGAAAATTAATATAATTATGTATTTCTAAAGAAGAAAAATGTATGAATAAAATAAGACTGAATACGTTTACATAACTTTACGTAAGTTATGTGACTGAATAAGTTTACGTAATTCATTTAAAGGGATAATTTACTCACCCTCATGTTGTTCCAAACCTGTATAAAGTTTCTACTTCTGTTGAGCACAGTCTTCAAAATATCTCCTTTTGTGTTCAGCAGAAGAAAGAAACTCATACAGGGTTGGAACAACATGAGGGTGAGTAAATGATGACAGAATTTCCATTTTTGGTCCCTTTAAATCTACAAATTAATTACCTGTACATATTATGAAAGTATATTATTTACAAAAAATTGTGTATGTATTGCCCAAATATCTGTTTGAAAATGAATATGAATATTTTGTTAAATGTCAATTTAGTCTTCTAAATATTTTTACGTTTCTATTGTATTTAGGTGTTCAAATGCATATAATTTCCAAACAATAAGTATACTTAATTTTATAAATGTTGTACTTAACCTGTATTTACAAATAAGTGATTATCTGCATTATAATTCTTAAAAAACATTGCAGACAACAAAGGACATAGAGCATTTAATTGTAGATTTCCCCCTAACACAATTCTTAGTATAATTTACATTTAGTATAATTGCTTAATTTATATGCATCAAGAATAATATATAATAATAACTCTTAAGAAATTGTTCACAACTTTGATCAGCCATTTGATCATGGCATTAGCAGACAAGATATGAGAATTATAGTTTGTCATTCTGTATAGTGACATCCACAAATACCGAATGAGATGGATTTAAATCTATATGACATTCACGTGAGATATACAAGACACATGAAAGCTCATATCTGCATCAATTATTGCTTATAATCAGATGCCTAATGTATGCCGTATTCATTTTCACTAGTTTATAATGTTTTTGAAAGTAGTCCAGTCTTCAGTGTCACATGATCCTTCAGAAATCATACTAATATGCTGATTTGGTACTCAAGAAACATTTATTATTACTATCAATGCTGGAAAAATGAATAGAAAGTCTAAAAGAGCAGCAATTATTTGAAATCTATCAAATGACAAAAGCAAAATTCCCTGCAAAGCATGGAGAGAATGAGGCAAATCATACTTGACAGTTTTCTTTTATTTAGACAACCCAAATAAAAGGCACATAAAACATTGCGCAATGGGTTTACATAATTATTCGACATACATTTAAAAAAACAAACAAAAAAAAACGTAGGAATGTTTTCACCTTTCTGCTAACCAAAAAAAGCCTAGTCTTCATATATGTACAAAATTACCAATGTTAATGTTCTAATACAAAAAGTCTTATAAAAGGTTATTTTACTTGTGTTTTTCCTTGCATGTGTCTATCATAACTACCACGTTCTCTGAGCTAAATGTTTTTACAAAGATATACATTCATTGGCCTTCACATGGATTTGCCAATTTAATCATAAGGACATGAAAGGACTGGACTCTCCAATCCAAAACCGAACGCAAAGTCTTTTTTTGTTTTTCCCCCATTAATGTTCTTTAAAAGATACTGATGCATAAGGAGTAACTTCATGAGCAATACTTTATAGGATATAAAAAAAATAACAAATTCATAATTCCTCAAACATGGCAACTTGATATTTCATATGCAAAATAGATTCTAAATCTCCACACACATTTGGTAAACAGTTAAACTGCAGTTGGCCGCCCAGGCGGTTTCCATCGCTGAACACTGCTCGTCTTATCAAAGAGAAGACTGATGTGTTTCACGGTGGCATTTTCAGACATGCAGTTCAGGCACGGAAGTGACGCCATTGTGGAAGGACAAACATTTAAAATCACAAGCACAATTAAAACCCCTTTCGTTTGTTTTTTTGTTGTTTTTGTAGTGTTTTCTGTCACATTCCTCGAATTCCAGTTCTCGGTCGAAATAATCCACCTCTACCTCCACCTCTAAACAAAACAAAAACGTAAAAAAGGCCAGAGCAATTTTAACTTTCACATCCCTACATGTAAGTCCATGTGATACAAACTTAAGACCACAAATGCTTGGCTACCAGGTCAACGCTGGGGGTGCGAGTTAACACAAACTAAACCTTTTTCCGGCGATTTACGCCCAGGCGGTGGTAGCTATGACATCATCATTTAAAGTACAATCACATTCAGCTGGTTTTACTCTTTGTTCGAGACTCATTCACATCACATAAGCACACGCAACCCTAATTTAGAGGGCCACGTGTGACTACATACCTTGCATCGGTTTCCCCATATCATAACATAAAATGGACACGACAGCTGTCCGGCTCGGTCAAAAGGAGGACTGAGAAAGGTGTATTGCTTTTATATATCCAACACAGAGAGGAAAATCAAAGAGAAAAACTAGTTTGGGGATATCTGCAAAAGCCGATTCTGTTATTTTTAAACAGGGTTACTCTGAACAAGATGACAAACCCTGAAAATTTGAAGGCAGTTTTGGTTTTTACTGTGACTGGAGTAAACGAACAAGCAATAGAGGTTAACTTTCTGCTCCTGCGACGGACGATCACGTCAACGGCTGAAGAGTATATGGCACCTCGACCTCTGAGGTGCGTCTCAGTTTTCGCCAATAAAGGGAACTATGTTTAGTGTGTTAATTGCGTAGAAAATTAGGTATGGAAGAAAGCGTTAGGCGCGATTCTGTCTGTTACAGGAGCAGAGTAAGTTGGGACACCCTCAGCAAATTTCCTGAGCAAAAGGTCCTAAGGAAAAACAGCCCTCGTCCTTCAGAAAGGAAGAGCAGACACGTCACGGTTACAAAACTAAATGCTCTTAAGAATAAAAATGGACCTTTCAGTGATGAAGTCGGCCACTTGGTGACCAGGCATCTATACGAACACTCAAAATATTTGATCTAAAATAATACTGCCGTCAGAATAATCACCAAAGAGATATGTTCCAGTGCAAGATTGTAACTGTAAATGTTCAACCCCACTAAGCAGAAGAATATCCCAGCTATTGAAACAGAACGTAATTATTCTACAATCAGGAATGACCAACTCCAAAGATTAGCTATAAAGAATAATAATTATAATAATAATAATAAAAACACAGCTACAGATTAAAAGGCTTACAATGAAATGAGGCCTTTTAAAAGCGTATTCTACATTTTCCTCATTTGTAGAGTCTCAAAGAAAAAAAAAGAAAAAAAAAAGAAAAAAGCTCTCATCTTCCACTAATGGAAGCCACTGTCCCTTTTGTTGTACGTGACTCATTAAAATGCATAAAACTATGAAATACTGATAAGCAAGCTAATGTAACAAAAATAAAATCCTCACAGTAATATTTGCCGAAGTCCTTAAACCATTAACACTAACAATGAAGCGGCGTCGCGCTCCGCTTCTAACAGCCGACTGGCAAGGATTTTCTGGCACTAGAAAAGTGAAATCACCAAACATACAGCATGTCAGTCTTCCACTCCATGCAATAACTATTTTTTCTGTCCGTCTCTAAACTCTAGACAATCTGCTTATCTCTCAGCCGAACGAAGGAGACGCAAAGTGCCAGCTAACATCCGCATGATTCCTTGCAGCTGCGGACTGTCATTTTCCTACACTCGCCATTCCTCCAGGCTCTTTTTTTCCCCTCACAGCTGGAGAGGAAGACTAAAACGGGAGACATGAGGTTTACTAGGAGAAGGCGGGTGGGACTTTGGGTTCTACCAGGGCGGGGTGGATGGCAGGACCTGCGAGAGGAAAGACATGCTTTCAATCGGCCTCATGGCAATGTTGAGGGGACCGGTGATGTTCATTGACATGGGCGAGGTGATGGCGACGGGATGGGCGATGTTCATGGGCGCCGTGGCTGGGATGTTGACTGAGGCGATGTTGACGGGAGCAGTGATGGTGACCGGGTGCTGAAGGCTGACGGGGGAGGTGATGTTGACCGTGTTGGTGGTGATGTTCATCTGAGCGGCGATGGTGACGGGGTGGCTGATGGCGCCGCGGTTCATGGCCATAGTGTTGGACGCGGTCGAAGAAGTGACTAATGTGGCTGAGGCAGAGTTGCACACATGGTTAGAGTCTGACCGGAAAAAGTGAAAAAGGAAAGAGTGAATAAAACATTGGGGTGATTTCTATGGTTACACTGTGGTCAAGACAGAAAAATCAGGGTTCATTCATAAAGATGGTCTATGGTCAGTGTGAGAGTTTCGGGCTAGTAGCTGTATTGCCACTGAATATTTTACATTTATCGATCTTATACATCTATTTTTACATTTAGTTTACTGCGATGTATTACACATTGCTGTTGCAAATTTGTCACCAACATCATTTTTTCTAGCTGGCTAGAATTTTGTCAAAAATGACTTGTGATAGTCTTGAAAGTGTCAGTGAATTTTTTTTTAGCAAAAGCTTAACAACATTACCTTGTAAATCTTTGTAAATAATTCTTTTTTTTTGTAAAATTATTATTTTTTTTTTATAAATACTTCTAGTAAATATAATACATTGATAAAGGCAAATGTTTCTAAAGAAAAATGTTTACATTTTCTTTGTAAATAAAATTGTGGACTTTTTGGCAAAAATCAAAAATTTTCTGAAAAATATAAATATTTCTAGTAATTAAAAAAATACACTGTTAAAGAAAAATGTTTCTAAAAGATAAATGTTTAATTTTTTTTATTTGTAATGTAACAAGTAACATTTTATGAAAAATATAAGTATTTCTAGTAAATTAATTGTAGTAGTATTAAAATACATAATGTGGTAGGACTACTGAAAAGTAAACATCAGAACTGAAGAAAAATCCTTACAGTTGAGGCTGAATATCTCTTATTTTTACCTAACCTCTACATATTTGAATATCTAACATTCACACTAGACAGCTGACATTTGTGGACCTTAAAA